TCTATAATTTCGTCTAATTTCTTTTTTAATATCTTTTTCACTACAATATAAAAAAATTAATTTTAGAAAATGGTTCAATAAATAAATGTATAACAACATAAGATTATATGACAAAAATTTATGCGATAGCATTTTGAAAATAATAATAACTACATACTTTTAGTTTGTTAGTCATAAAACAATAAATAAAATTTTCTAATAAGTACACTTTGCTATAAAATTACAGCAATAATAATGTCTAATACGTTAAAAATTATTTTTTCATGTGGGCAAACAAATTTGAAGTAACCGTCGTTGATATGTTTGAAATTCAAGAATAAAGTTTCGCATGAAGTGTATACACACATGACGCTATTCGCTATCGTACGTATCATATCTCATTTTACATAGAACAACTGCCGTGCGTTTGTGTTAATTCTAGGGATTCGGCAATGCTGATGTCTAGTACAGAGCTTGTGTAACTTCATCGAGAAAGACCTGGGATATTACAATATGAACTATAATTTTGAATTTTGAATTTATTTGCAACCATTAAGATTGTAGCAACACATCGATGACTGCGCCTATCACCACTAGGGAGCGACACGATTCTCGAATAAAACGAATGCTGATACACTTCTAGATCAAGTTATAGGTAAAGTTCTTCTATCACGCAGCGTGCCCAACGACACGGATTACAAGTCTCTGTAGAAGTGTATCGATCTTTGACGAATCCCTAGAACTAAACAAACGCACGGCAGTGGTTCTATGTGAAATGGGATACGATACGTACGATAGCGAATGGGAGTCATGTGTATATGCACATATGTAAACCGCTCATTTATGAAAACAAAATATTTTTCGATTATCTTAAGATGTCAAAAGTGAAAATCAAAGCATTCTATTTTCTGAATTTTTGAAGGTTGAACATATTGAACTTTTTTCAACAAATATTAGTAATATAGTACAAGATTTGAGTTAAACATGTTTTATTTTCATTATTCTTTTCTAGTTTATTTAAATATTCTTCGCGTAATCTATAGCTGAATGCTTTAACATTCCACGTGCACCAATTCCATCCCTAGGATTTAAGTTGAAATGTAAATTTCCCTAACATACATTTCTCATCCCTACATACAATTGAAAAATCGACAACACTATATAATTATTTTTTTACTTAAATACAATATAATTTAATGTAAGGAAGTAACACTCCACTAAATTAAGAAACACAAAATGTTGCACGAAGTGTTACTGTCACTGTGGGGATGTTCAACTAATGCCTTGCAAATATTGGATGCAGATGTAATTATACTAATAACATTATAATTCTGTTTTAGTTTTACTATTTATTTATATTTTTAAAATTTATTATTTTTAGACTGTGGATATTTAAAATT